GAAAATAGAGGCAAAATCCACTCTTAAACCCTCGTAGTTATCCCAAATTAGCATGTGTCTTTAAACTAAAAGTGATGTAAGTAAGTTTCAAATTCCTTAAAAGATGTAAATTAGTTGTTAATAAATGATCTAATTCAAGTGATCTCACGATATCTATTTTTTAACCTCATTTTTTCAAGACATAATCAAAGAAATTCTTGAACTTAAATGGTAAAAATTTTATTAAAATCGTTTATTTTTAAAATTCAATAATTTAATAATATTTTTTTTATAAAAATAAAAATTTTATATTTAAATCAAATAATTTATATATAAATTAAATTAAAATATAAAAATATTATTATTTTTTAACATGAGGGAATATGAGGGAATGAGATAATTTGATTGCTATTGTAACGAATAAACTATAGTAAATATCAAAAGTTTAACACATTTAAATCAAAATGAATAAAATTGTAGATATATAGAAACATTATCTTTTATTATATAATAATTCATAAAATATGTATATATCTCTTAGGTCATCTCCGGAACTCCAACACCAAATACACTAAGAAGAAAGTTCCTTATTTTAACTCATCAATTATTTATTACGGTAGATTAATACTTATTCAGAACCACAACCATAAAAATTCTTAATCATATCGAACGTTGACTACTGCTTCCCACCATACTTGGCCTTGTAATCATTCCAAAGTTGACCAACACTCTTCCCCAGCAGCTCTACAAAATAGCTGTCATTGTACCCATTTCTCATTTTCTTATTCAGCTCCGCAACAAATCCATTCATAAGATCATTGCAATAATCCAAAAACCTCGCCGTAACATCGTACCCTTGGTCCCAACGGTCGCCCTGCCCCGGCTGCACCCAGTGGCTCGGAGCGTAGCCTGCTCTCAGCCTCACAAAATCTGCTATCCCCTCTATTAACCCTCCAGGGGCCTGCCCGTTCCCGTTCCACTGCCAGATATGTGTCATCTCATGATATAACACGCCGGTGAACTCCCTCTTGACGTCGCCGGAGTAGTTTCCGAGGTAATTGGCGTTGACGTGGATTTCGTTGTTGACGGCATAGGCCACGCCGTCCATGTTGTCGATGAACAAGGTGACTTTCGGGACGTTCTTCCTGTCAGCGTCGTTGTTCTGCTGGAACAGCTTCCAGATGAAATCCGTGGCGGATGTTAGGGTCTGTCTGCTGTAGTCCGTTCCGATTTCGTTGGTGAATCGGACGCCTCCGCCGCTGCTTCCGGCGTTGTAGTTGACGACATATTCGACTGCTGCTTGGGTGGTTTGTATGGCTGCAAGGGATAAAAGCAGCGCAGAGAGGAAGAAGGAGTGGCGTAAGCGAAACATGGCAAGTTTTAAGTTTGTTGTGTTCCTCTGGGGACGTTGGATTCGATTTGGATAAGAAATGTGATGTAGTTCTTTGGTTTTTATAGGGACCTTGGCTTAATTAATTAGTATATCAAATTTGAAAATATGGTCAAAGCTAGATGGCTGGTCTAAGG